AGACGAAGAAAGCTCATAGATTTTCATTGAAGATTCCTTTTTTTGGCTCATTTTATATATCTAAAACAAACAAAAAAATACAAAATAAGTATTTTGAACATATTCAGACTTATTACAATAAAGTAAAATATATTTATATAATACATATATCGTAGTAAGATAACGTTTAGCGTCAATATTCCAGGTTAACATAAAATTGGCGCACGCACTAGTCCCGCGACGCGCACAAGTCGACTGCTGTAATGAAATTTCTTTTGCGAAACGACGTATAGTGACGTTGTGCGCTAACAAAGTGGGTACTTAGTATCAGGGAGGAACGCCATCTAAGAAGCCAAAAAACATCGGTTCGATGTGGCACTACAATTTTGAGAATTCGATATGTTGTGGCAGAGTAACCCAACTTTAAAACATTAGTATGGCCAGACACCGTACCATAACGTTGTGCTCAATAAATCGAGTTATTGCTGAACGTAATAATACGTTGTGCCATATCATATCTACAAATATGTGACGTACATATACGTTGTTCGCATGAACATGTTAAAGATCCAGACCCTTTGCGCAAAATTGGTCACCCTTATTTTATCTCTCCAGGAGGCGTGTCACATTATGTACGCCTTGGGCGCGGTCTACGCTATATAACAAGCCTATTTAAACAGTTCAATATCGTGTCATTTATTACAACTGTATATAATACACTAGACAGGGGTAGAGTTAGACTTAATCAGAAATACTATATGCTATACGTGGTAGAACCACGTTACAGCTATATTATGGTTGTATGGGTCTTCTCGACCGGGGTAGGACCACGGTCTCACAGAATACCAGCGTACAATAGCAGTAGCAATAAGTGTGTTGTAAGTGTTTCTTATGGTGAGTGTAGAGAACCGGAACTGGGAAACGAGGCGTTATATCTTAGTTCTCACGGCTGACAACGCATCTGAATTTTGATTCGTAATCGAGAAAAGATGTAGATGTCTATGGGCCGCAACAACCACTTACCATCATGTCGACTGTGTGCTCGTTTGTCACCCTTATCCTATAAAAAAAACTGTTTTTCCAGGTAGGTACCACCAAATTACTTATTTCTGTTTCCAAGTAGCAGTGATTGCACTTCTGGTCTGACGTATATAGAGATCTTTCATCTTAATCCTCAGAAATTACAACGAAACTGTAGCATTCTTTATTTGGATATGGCTGCAGGTGTATATGGCTTGCAGTGGGCACTTACCAGCGGAAGGACTGCAATTGCTATTGTCTCTTCAGTTTTATAAAAAGAACTGTTAACCTTCATTACAGAGAGTCATGTTCAGAATTGGATAGAGCCCGCCTTTCAAAGTTAAAGGAGCAAATTTTGGTTCTAATTCCGTATGTACTATTAAAATTGCTCGCTAGGTGGCTAAGCATATGGCGACGGCATCGCGTGGCCGCGGGTTTGAATCCCGAATGTATGGCTTACAGACTATTGCTGAATCTGAATGTTTGTCTATGTGTAATTTAAATATATATAATGCGATATAAATAAGAATAGGACTGACCTGGTGCTATATAGTGACGTCATAGCTGCCAATTCGAACCGGTTAGATAGGTGAGGAAAACAGATATTTATGAAATAATATTTATTTACAAAAGAACCATGACGGAATAAGTATTAATGTGAATCAAGTTTTCAATTTCGTTCATCTCTACTTTACAGTTCACACTGTCTGAGAAGTCATCATTTTCGTCATTATTATCACTGCTGCTTTCTCTTATAAAAATAGAATATGGATTTATGTAGGTATTTAAAATATTTCAACGACTAGGATCAATAATTTAAATTAATTTATAAAAATAATAGATTTAGTAATACTAAGACTCAGTTAAATAAAATGAAGAAAAAGAAAACGTTAATTATACGCAAATTATTTTTCTTTGCGAACCGTACTATTCAAGTGTCAGTTGACAGATCGCGGTCATTCGAGTTCATTGGCATTCTAGCTCTTATTTCAATCACATTGTATGCATTTAAGTAATACCTAGTATGTAAAATGCCACGTAGCGTAATGTTTTTGATACAAAGAGAAACAAATATATAACCAAAATAAAAAGGATCGATAAATAAAATTACAGTTCGCTTAAATATTAAATATTTTATTTGAAAACAAACTTATCCCATTTATGTATACATATAATCTTACATATTAAATACATAGTCTCAATATTATACACTCCATGTGTCTACTTATTTCGCATTTATTGTTAACTTCCCCTATTAATTTATATTTACATTTAATCTTTACAAAAATTAATCCGACGAATCTATATAAAAATCTCGTTTATAATTTAGTAGTAATTTACATATTATATTTATTTGAGAAGAATACAGTTAATGTAGTTTTGAATAGATTTCTATCCTTATATACTTTACGTTAAAGTTCATAATATAATAAATTAACACGCTCCTGTATGGCAGTGGCCTGAGTGGAGACTGATCGCAATGCTATGCATATAATTTTCTATCTACAATCAACACGTATTTTGGTCGTCTTTACCAAACTGATGTCAGACGTTAAAAATATAATTTATTTTAAATAGGGGTGTCAAGCCATCAGACAATCCACTTGATGGTTGCCGTGGCCCATGGACATCTACATCTATCCTCCATTGTGAACCAAAATGCAGATGCGTTGTCACACTTGATAACTAAAATGGAATATATCGTTTCGAGTAAAAAGGGTCTCCTTTTTTTACACTCACACACAATCTATTTTTTACGTACAAATTAATAGATTATCATTTAATTTAGTTATAAATATATAAATAAAGAATGAAACTTGAATTCAAAGATTTAGAAATAACATTTATTCATATTTAATTTTTAAAAAATGTCTATAGACATGTTTCACTCGACAAATAAGTTTTACCAAAATACCTTATAACTTATAAGCTTATAACTTCCATTTAAATAAATAACAATATATTAATGCTCAAATCTATTTTTAACCTTTAATATGCTCATGACTTTCCTTGCGATTTCTTCTGATGCTTGCAGAACAACCATACAGAATAATCTGAACATAACATTCCTAATTCATTGACAAGAAACAGGCTAGCGAGTGTTAAGGTGAGGCAAGGTAGCCAATGCGCCTGTAAAACGTGGAGTTTAGTGCAAACTTTCCATAGTAGTAGACGCCTATAACAGTACAAATTAAAAGGGCCAGTGACAGAATTTTTCTTTGTTTCAACTTGGGTTTCAATTCCAAGTGATTTCTCAAAAAATCAATAAGTAGTGATAACGTATAAACATGTCACGGCTTTTTAGCCGTGCTGAAGTGGGGTTAAACCTATATTATACGGCTACAGCTAGGTGCAGCCGATTGTGATAGGTTAAGCTTAGGTGCATTCGGTTTATTCATGCGTAAAGCTCGGTATGGCTGGTTACTTTTCGGTAAAACGAGCTATAGTAAAGTACAAATGATAACTACAATAACTATATATATCAAGTAATATCAACGACACTTAGTAACAAAAATACGAAGAAAACATCATTCTTAGAGTAATAATATACAATATGTATGCAAACCCAGTAATATCTGCGAAAAGTAGGTTTCTTGTAGAAGTATAGATTAAGGTGTAACCGCACTTCATCTTTTAACTGCACCATGTAAAAGAACGTCAAGTTTTGATGTACTTAATGAGACATATTAGAAATGTGGCAGTATTTTTAGAATTTATTTTGTTTCTTTTTTACAATATTAATAATAAATTAAAATATTAAATTAGTATACCTAAAACCAATCACTTCGAATGTAAATAATTTTGAAAATAATCTTAATATTTCCTCTGTGGTTGTGTCAAATTATCAAGTAAAAAAAAAAAGAATAAGAATAGAATAGAACTATATATTTAAACAAAAAGTTAACAATATATGGTGAACATTGAACCGAGGACATTGGCTGACACCATCTACACCGATAAACACATCATAGGACAAAGTATAATTAAACTAGTAATTTCGTTATTCTTCTAAAAACGACAAAACAATTGAATATTTTCAAGAATTAGTATAATGCAATTTCCACAATGTCGGGAACCTAGCTTCTGTATTATGTTACATATGAATAAGTTTAAAGGTACCACTTGCACGCCAAACTTCTTAACGTTAACAATTATAATTTTAATTACAATAATCCCTCCTTACATATATTTACAATCACTGGGAGGTGCAACGAATGAGATAGAAATTTTGAATAATAGGACCCGAGTCACCGCTAAACATTACAAGAATACACGCCCGTGTTACAAGCTATTAGAGTAGAAATTTGATTGTGTTATCTTTGAGGAACGTTTGTTGCAATAGCTACAGTAACTGTTAGAGGTTTATTATCAGAAAAAATAGCTAACATTATTAGTAGTTGACTTTGTTAAAACTAATCCAAGTAATTATGAGTAGTGATTTCAAGGAAAGATAAATCGTAAATAACAAAGTTTTAATAATTTTTTTTTATTAAAAACAGACTATATTTTATCAGTCGGTATATTACACATACTAAACTGCAATAATGCGTCAAATCTATAACGGGTACCGGACTCGGGTCAACAATCGAACGTTATTATAATCACTTCATAAAAATCTTAAAGCTATTGTAAAATCTCTATTCGAAATTATTTAGTTACTTAATTTATCGGAAAACTAAGTTTTCGTATATTAAAATTACTTAGTACGAGATAATAACATTCATGTGTGCTTAATGAGACGCGGCACATGTTGCGTAAGTGCGTCGCACTTCGGCGTGCCCGCGTCACACTTCGGGGTGCAAGCGTCACAATTCGGCGTGTGCGCATCTCACCTAGACGAACGTGCGTCAAATTTTGCGCGCGCTGGTCACACTTTGGCGTGTTTTGATCTCACTTTGGCGTGATTTTGGTTACACTGTGGCGTGCGTTGGTCATACTTATGCACGGTTGCGTCACACTCCAGCGGGCGCGTAAACTGTGGGACGCGGGTAGCCGCGCGATCAGCTGGCGAGTTGAGCGCGTAACAAACGCGCGTGTAGAATGCCAATCAGCAGTAACGCAAGGATGCAACGTGAGCTATTTGACAAGCCAGCGGAGCCCGTCTGCATTGCCGCCGGCCGCTCACCTGCAAACCAAGAGCGTCTCAATGACAGCTAATTACCAATCACTATTATAGAAATAATTTTAACTCTTTTTTATTTTAATAATATCTCTTTAAAATTAAAAAGTGAAACCATAATAAGATGTAAAATAAAAAGAATAAATTCCGAAGTCAATGCTAAGAAATAATTTATTGCATAGTGTATATTAAAGAAAAATTGACCCTTCTAAATGGACTAAGGAACATCACAAGATTGAATATAAAAATATATTATCTATTATTCCATCCTTAGCTTTTCTAAATTCTTATGGAACTACCCCTTATTAAATAGATAGTTCAGGGACAAAAAGTTTAGTGGCAACGAAAAGTGACTAGGCCAGAAAGAACTTAATGTATCCAATAGATAACGTTAAACCCAGGTCGTTAAAGCCAGGCGTAAAATATTTAAATCAGCAACAGGAGCACCGTCACAGGTGCGAGATGTGTGCTAATGCTATCATCAATTCATCAGCAAAGTGTGACCATTACGGCGAATGATCCCTACACCGAGATAGGCCACATCTAACAGTTGAGTTTTACGGCCTAATGGAGAAAAAATTAGTTTTAGTGTGTCTTACCGTTGAGCACGTGTACTCTTACGAAGGCGATCTCCGCATTGGATGGCGAGCAGGAGTACCGTCCGGAGTCTGCGGGCGTAGCATCCTGCACCAGCAGGTACGAGGTTGTTGCCGCGCCCTTTTCCGTCACTACTGACACTCCGCCGCGCGACGAGTCGTACGATATTACCTGCTTCACAGATTACACAAAATTCCCACAGATTTTGAAACACCTAGCATTGTACGTGTGAACAAATGTAGTGGTGATGTAAGAATACCCACTACCTCATATCGTCCCGTGGGAGTCGTAAGAAACGACAGAGAGATACTAAAACAGAAGATGGGCAGCAGCATCTTCCTGATAACAACTCTAAATAATAAAAAACCAGATCTCAACGCGCCTGCCAAACATGGCATCTATGGCAAAATCCTTCCTATGAGGAAATCTATGGGAGAGTCTTATGTTCAACCGTGGACTTTTATAGGCTATAATGGACCATTGTCCGTCCCGTTACGTGACTTTTAATCCATATCCAATAATTACCTTGATATTAATTTATGTGGAGGTATAAATGAGTGTTCAGTGCTATGATGTTAGATATTAAAAAGTTAAGTCTAAATGCTATATCAACAGGCTTTAAGGCACTCCATCTTGGTTACGGAAAGTGACCTCTACCTGTGACTGACCTGCCTTTTTTGTTTGAATTTTGTTGGAGGTACCTTTGAGTCACTCACTATGTTATATGTTTAAGAAAAATGTTGTATGTACTAATATGTTTACCATCAGTATTTATCAATATAATTATAGGCTCAGGTATCCATGGAAATCAGTAACCACTTGTCAAGTGGACTGTAAGACCCATCGGTCTTTTCAGTTAAAAAAATATTCTTCTACCCTCAGTAGAGTGCAAGGAACATTGGCTGTGTTACAATATATTATATTATATTATTACGTAGTAGAACCACGTGGTATCGTATCATGGCAACATCGCAAGTGGATTGGTATAACCGAGGATGAACCCAGCTCACCTGATATACCAGTCTAAAATAGCAGTGAAATAAGAAATTTTTCTGCTGCGTTTTGTAAGTATCCATCTTAATCCTTAATGGTAACAAGGCGTTTCATTTTAGATCTTAAGTATGATAACGCACCTGTATTCTGAGGACAGATGTGGGTAACTATTGTCCATAGCATTCATTTACCATCAGGTAGTTGTATGCTTGTTTGTTGCCCTTACTTAAAAAATGAACGCTGCGTCATAGTCTTATCATAAACATATCCACTTATAACTAATCTTAAAACTATTAATAATAATAGAAAGTGTGAATAATTACTTTGCGTCCGCTCACCTCGTCCTCATGGTACCAGAATATATAGGCGGGAGGTTCGGGGCTGAATTGGATTAGACAGGTCAAGTTTATAGTGGAGCCGATATCCACGTGTAAATCAGGCCCACCTAATATTCGAGCCGATGGCACTGAAAAGAAGATGAAATCGATGAAATTAATTAAGAAGTATTATAACGATGATAGTGCATAAATATTGAATACAATGATTCTGGAATTAAAATCTAAAAAGTGATTTCAGTCAAGTATCATTGAATTCAGAGAATAATTATTAAAACTAAACTCATAAAACAATCTTAGAACAAAAGCCGTAACATTTGTTAGTAAGGCGGTCAAATTTAAATTTCAAATTTTAGCAAGAACTACATTAGTTTCGCATTCCAGCCTTAAAATAATCTGGGGCAATCTTTACGATGTTAACTTGATATTGGAGAAGAAGAATGTGGTATTAATCAAGGCAAGGAAAGGAAAGGTTGCTTAGAACGGTAAAATTGAAATTAACAAAAAAAAAATATTAAGCTCAAAATTTTTAACAATTGTTTATTAGCGTAAAATCGTTTTTATTTTTATTGTTTTTTCTTTTTCATATTCCAGGTAACTGTCAAACTGTCAGATATAAGAGGCTTTGTTGAATAATTGATAAAGCGAAATATTGCTTTGCAACGTTAGCCTAAAACTATTTTTATTTCCTGTAGTTCAAACAAAACTGTTTACTGTTTAGACAATAGTTTGTTTGTATATACTGTTTGTCAGATTCCAGAGTACGTTTACAAAATTCCTGTACATAATCCAGTGTTACCACTAAAAGAGAAACCACTAAAACTTCTATTTGTAGTTCTCTGTCACTGTAATAAGTTTTTGCAAATATTATAATGTGGAATTGTGTCAAGTTAGAATTTACGTTTGCATAAAACGTATGCTTATTAAATTAATTTTAGTTTAGTAGTTGCATTGCATTTGCATAATATTATCATTTACGGGACATAGCGTTTCAAGTAAGTACTATAAAACCACATTAGAGACAGTTTTTTTAATTATTTAACCCTGAAATATTATTAGACATTATAATTTTAAAATTAAATTGGTTAGTCAACTCGAAACAACATTTAAGATCACACAGTCACACCAACAGACCTGCATCAGAAAACATCCTCTGATAAATCTCGTCACAATCTGAAGGAAGGATAAAATATATTCAATTGGACTTATGTATGTACTTTGTACAATATCTTATAAGTAGTTATTTTGTATCTTACTTAAGAAATTATTAATTCTAAGTATTTATATTAGCTAGTGGGGACAACCCTATACTTCGCTTACAGGGTACTAGGCTCTCACTCAAGAAACTTTCGTAGTTATCAGCAATCAGTTCTTCTATTGGCCGGCCCGATATAAAGACCCCCCCCCACCAAATAGACAGAGAGAAGACCTGGTAAAACACGAAGGAAGTCGTATGATGCAGGTGGCTCAGGACGGTGCCTTGTGGCATTACTTGGGGGAGGCCCATGTTCAGTAGTGGACTTTAAAGGTCAGTAAAGATGATGATGATGATGAGTTATGTCATCAATCTCACAAAACGACATTTCATTCAGTGACATGACTAATCAGTGATATGTAACTCATACTTGATGTTCAAGTATCAAATTTAAAAAATGTGTAGACGGGTAGGTAGGTGTACGTGGTGGAGCGATGCTGCAGCTATTATTATAATTGTAGTTTGAATGGGTCGGTTTGACTAGTAAAGGACCACGCTCTCGCAAAACACCAGCGTGAAATAGCAGCATGCTATATTTCTTGTGGTGAGTGTAGAGCATCAAGAGCACTATCTTAGTTCTCAGCCGCGACAACGCATATACATTTTGTTTCTTAATAGAGGAGACATGTAGATGTCTATGTGCCATAGCATCTACTTATCATCAAGTTGTCTGTGTGCTCGTTTGTCATCCTTATTCTATAAAAAGGTAGAGGAACTACTCGTATCCAAAAATCAGGTTTCTATTTAAGTTTTCTATTACCACCTGGTGAAAACAAATCGTCAGCTTACCAACAATGTGCAGTGTGACGAAGAAGGAACGCACGGGCTGTGTGGATACTTGGCACTCGTAAACTCCGGCGTCCCGTTGCTGTGCCCACTTAATGTGCAAAGTCCAGTCATCAGTCTGAGGTGAGTGCGTTGCTTGAAACCGTTGATCGGATGTGTACGTGTAGCCGCCCACTGTCAGGATATGCAGGTCCCGATGTCTGATCCATGAAACCTAGAACAAAGAAACAATATATCATTCATACGTCATTTATTACAGCATATTAAGGTCCACTGCTGAATATACGCATTTCCTTAGATTGCCTCGTAAATGGATTTTTGCCATAGTTGCCACGCTTAGTTGGCGGGTTGGCGACTGCAGAGTTTTGGAATTTAATATCATACGACATCTTGAATTGTTGTGCTAACAGAGAACTAGATCATTTATAGAACTAGATAAAGAACGCTAGACTACGTTCATTTGAATTGGCCCTTCTTAACAAATATTCACCAATACATATTATTTTTTATATATTTTTATATAAATCTACCACTGAACGTACACGTATGCACCTAAAACTATTTTGTTAGTTGCAAATAATTTGGATGTATATGTGTGCGTGTGTGTTCTTATAATAAGCTGGGCATGGTTTTGGCGTCATTTGAAAAGTACATACTGTTCTATCTTTCTCAGTTGATCTGAGGCTAAAAAAAGAAATGCCTAAATATTAACACCCGCGGGAGAAGACTGGTGACCTAGATCTTTTTAAAAGCTATTCCAAGTATCCAATTGTAATAAGGTTATTGGCTAGTAAGTTTTGATGAGAAGGAAACAGTGAAATTCTTACATCAATACTCTTCTTTCCCATCTAAATTCTTACTTAAACATTATTTTTAATTAAACTCAATCAATCAATCAATCAATATATTCTTTATTGTACACCAATACACATTAGAGTGAGACAAAATGAAATAAAACTCTCTCAGAAGGGAGAGGAGACCTATGCCCAGTAGTGGGACGTATATAGGCCGTATTTTACTTTACTTTTTAAGTACAATCAGATAGATATTCACGCATCGAATACGTATTAGTAAGCGAAATGAGCGAGATACTAGAGTCACGTTGAAGCAATTTCCTTCACTTTCAGTAGCAGCTCGTTAAAAATACTTGCTTTCGACGTTTTAAACACAGATCGGGATGATCTTTAGGCTTACACCTGGTAATTGACGAAAGCGAAGTACACGTGACGCCGCAGCATTAGGGTTTACATTTATTTTATTCTTTATTTTTCCCTTTAAACGGTGATGGTTCCATTACATCACAGCCATTTGTGACGTAATGGAATCCGTCACTACATCTCGTTTATGGATTAAGGAAAATAACATGATAGGTGATGGGAAGAACAGTAGTAATATTATATAGTAGTTTTTTTTTATAGGATAAGTGTGATAAACGAGCACACAGTCCACCTGATGGTAAGTGGTTGCTGCGGCCCATAGACATCTACATCAATCCTCTATTACAAATCAAAATGTAGATGCGTTGTCACCCGTGACGACTAAGATGGAATGCCTCATTTCCAGTAAAATTTCCGGCCATCTGCACTCACGAAGCGAATCGCAGAGGTAAACCTCTACTTCACGCTGGTTTTCTGTGAGGTCGTGGTACCACCCCGGTTCGAGCCGGCCCATCCGTGCAACAGCAAAAGCTGTCGCGTGGCTCTACCACTGATGAAAATATAATTAGATAGTATATAGTCCCCTGGTGTTGCAGTTGTTCATGGGCGGCGGTAGTCACTTACAATCAGGTCAGTCGCATGCTCGTTTGCCCCTTCTTCTACACGCTTATGGCGCAACGTCTCCCCTCAAATCTTATACTCTGCTGCCCGTCTCCGGTCTGGATATTTTGCATCTGACATAAAAGAGATGGTTGACAAACAATCGGAAGCCATAACATATTCCTAGAATTTTCTGGGGTGACCTGTTACGATGATACCCAAGGGATGAAATCAGATGATGGATTCTCTTACGCCGCCATTACACGGCAAATCATGTAACAGTGGTAGAGCTACGCGGCAGCTTTTGCTGCCGCACGGATGGGCCGGATTTACCGGAAATGAGGCATTCCATCTTAGTCCTCACGGGTGACAACACATCTACATTTTGATTTGTAATAGAGGATAGATGTAGATGTCTATGGGCCGCAGCAACCACTTACCATCAGGTGGACTGTCTGCTCGTTTGTCACCCTTATCCTATAAAAAAAAATGGACCTCGTTCGTGCTGCGATAGACGACTGGCCGCGCAGATTGAAGGCCTGTATTCAAAATCACGGAGGTCATTTCGAATAAACTTTAGTGTCATAAGAATTTATGTTTTGTTAAGTTCATTTTGGTTTATAAATGGTTACATAATGAATAAACTTGTTTCAATTATTTTATATTAAACATGTGACAGAATTTATGACCGCATTAGGTATATATATATAAGTACACAGAACAATGTCGCCAGTGGATAAGGTTTTACATAGAACAAGATGCGGTTACGGGTGGCATTTGTCATGTACGCTGTCCGATGTCAGCTATGCGTTTTGATTAATAGCACAACTATATTGAGATTATGCGATGACGAATCGATCCCATGTTCCGTGTACGGTCCTTGATAGCCATTGTGTGAATACATATTACTCAATCTTCCTGGCAATATATGCATGTTAGAAATTACTTAAGAATTTTTTTGAATAGAATAAGGGTGACAATCGAGCACACCTAATGGTAAGTGGATGCTGTGACTCATAGACATCTACATCTATCCTCGATAAGAATCAAAATGCAGATGCGTTTCCACCCCTGAGGACTAAGATGGAATGACTTGTATCCAGTAAAAAGGATTTCCTGTTCTCTATACACGAAACGCAGCAGCACTGAGCTGCTATTTTACGCTGGTATTCTGAGAGAGCGAGGTACTCTCCCGGTCGAGCCAACTCATTCGTGCTATAACCATAATATAGCTGGCAACGTCGCTCTACCTTTTCTTAACTAAGAGATAGTGCAGTGGCCCCATATCGTCCCGTGGATGTTATAAAAGGCAACAGAAGAGTTATAAGAGGAAAACAAACAAGTTCTTTGGGGGAGGTCTATGTTTAGCAGTGGGCTTGTGAAGGGTTTTAATGATGATGATGATAAATAAGGTCTGCATTTTTAGGGACTGTTGTAAAACGTATACATTACCCCATCAAGGAATCACTGACTTTGAATTCGAGTAACTGGTATAACTAACTTGTGCTTGTTCCTAGTATTTACAGAATGTACATCACTATTTTTGATAAAACTATTTTTAATTTTGTGTACGTACAAAAATTTTTCTTAAATGTACTGAGAGGCCAATATTTATTTCTTAAAAAAATATCTAAGGGATTCCTTCGGATCTAAGTTATGAATTTCTCTTATGACTCTCTTCTACATGCATTTTCTGCATCATATTGCTGCATGGTGGAATTCGAGAAAGATGGTGTCGAGTTGAATAAAACTATTTTTACGGATTTTATCGCGTTTAATTTACTTATTTTATATTCCCGACGTTTCGGTTGCTTTCCAGCAACCGTGGTCACGGGGGACTGAGGTGATTGACGTCCCGATGTCAAAGTTAACCCGGAGTACCTTCAGCTTTTTAATTATTAATTTTGGTCCGATCTACGCAGAATGAACTAACTGTGTCTTGAAGTCTTGCAGTGGTATGCTTGGGTTTAGTTTTAATTTTATGAATTACAGGATCCCAAGCAGGTGGTAGTACCCAGCCTCCCTCTCTATTGAAATTAGGATGTTTTTTAATTTCAATAGCCTCACGTATCATCCTTTGCAGGAATCGATGTTCTTTCGCGAGGACTTGTGGTTTATCAAATCTAATGTAATGGCGGGGGCCGTCTAGGATATGATCACAAACTGCAGACTTCCCGGAACGTTGGTGCTTCACGTCAGCTATGTGTTCTTTTACGCGGGTTTTTATTGATCGTTTTGTTTGCCCTATATATGAGAGACCACACTCACAATCAAGCTTGTATACTCCTGCATCTTGTAGAGGAATATTGCACTTGACGGATGGTAAGAACTGACTAATCTTCTTCGGCGGCTTGAAGAATGTTCTAATAGAAGCTCGCTTCAAGATGTAGCCAATTTGTTGTAAAGCATACATTGCCTTATCAGGGTATTATTGACTCTTTGGAATCGAGTAATATGTGTAATTAATAAAATGGTGAAAGAAGAAGTATACTAGGTATTGTCAAACGCAATACGTTACCTATAATAAATTACATTTCTGTTTGCTTGTGACTGTTTCGAAGCAGTTTCTAACTATGCAGTTGACGGGCAATTTTATTATTATATAAAAGCTATGGAACTCACAATTTACTCCTTTACGGCTGCACTGTGGAATTTACTGTCGCCAGCGGTTTCCCGGACCGGTGTAACTTAGGGACCTTCAAGAAAAATGCCTACTCCTTTCGAAAGGGCCAGCTACGCACAAGCAATTCCCCTGGCGTTGCAAATGTTCATGGGTGACGGTGATCACTTACCATCAGGTGAGTGGTATACTAGTTTGCTTATTCTTCCATTAAAAAAAGTTATACCAAAAGAAGCACTAATGTTCAAATCAGATAAGAAAGAGGGTCCGTTGAAATCCTAATACAATATTGTTAGTATATACAATATTGTATTAGAATTTCAACGCTTTACTACGGAGTTTCAAATGAAAGGACCGCTCTCCAATAAGGTCGGGTACCAACCAACCTATTTATTTAAAATAGCCAAGCATTTCATTACAAAGACCCGTGTTCCGTACCTCTTTACAATCCTTCAATCCATTATATGAAGACATAGTTAGATGGAGTGTTACAAACGAAGTAACCTCTTGATACTTCATTCACGAGGAGAAGGGATTTACCTGACTGACCTCACCGCATAGGCTATAAACTGTTTATAAATAATGAAGTGTAGGTCAACTCGATGGAGTGACGACCTGGTAAGACATGCAGAAAGTAATGGATGTAGGTGGCTCAGGGCCGTTCTTCGTGGCGATCCTTGGGGGACGCCTATGTTCAACGCTGGACTTGTGAAGGGCTGTAATGATGACGATGTTGAATATTATATTATTTATCATACCTGCAGATTTATAACGGGCGGTTGCGTAAAATAATCCATCACCCAATTTCAGCCAGATATGTAAATGGCGAAATTAGGAAATGCCAGAAAGACTTTTTAGTTTAAAACACCCAGATCGACGACGAGCATTGTAAAAAATGCAAGTCGTCTGGTTCTGTAATCTTCAATCCGCCTGCCACACGTGACAATTCTGTTCCTTCAGTGAAAATTAGTTTAAACGAATATCATAGCTTCATTTATTTTTTATTTATTATATACCATTAAGGATAACCAACAAGAAATTATGATTTATGTTACAATATTTGTATTCTAGCATTAAGAACTAAATGTTGTTTTAATTATAGGTTACCACGGCGTGCATTTTTTTTTTTGTAAATTTAAGGTTACAGACGAGCACACAGTTCACCTCATGGTAAGTGCTGTTGTGGCTCAAGGACATCAACATTTATCCTTGATTGAGAATCAAAATGCAGATTCGTTGGCACCCCTGAGGACTCAGGTGGAATGCCTCGATATCAATAAAAAGGGTCTCCAGTACTCTACATTCACCATACGATACACTACAGCCTTAAACTAATATTTTACGCTGGTATTCTGTGAGAGCATGGTCCTACCCCGGTGGAGCCGATCCATTCGTGATACAACAAGTTTTGTACGTGGTAGAGCCATGCTGCAGTTATTAGTAGTATAGTTGTAGCACGAATGGGTCAGAT